CGTCTGATTGTTAGGTGCTAGGACTGGGGAGCCAATCAGACACACTACAAGCTGCTCTCTGATTGGGCTGATTGTTAGGTGCTAGGATTGGGAAGCCAATCAGACACAATGCAAGCTGCTCTCTGATTGGTCTGATTGTTAGGTGTTAGGATTGGGGAGCCAATCAGACACACTGCAAGCTGCTCTCTGATTGGTCTGATTGTTAGGTGCTAGGACTGGGGAGCCAATCAGACACACTGCAAGCTGCTCTCTGATTGGTCTGACTGTTAGGTTGACTGTTGCATTGACTCAGTATTGATACACTTTTCAAATGTTTCACAAATAAAATTGAACAATCAAATGGGATTATTGAAAATATTTCAAATATTTCATAGTAAATAGTTGCAAGAGCTCAAGTAACTTTAAGAATGATTCCAAGTGCAACATTACCAATAATAAATTTTGATATCTCTGATAAATTAAACATGTTTTTTTTTATGCTTACAATCAAATATTATCATAGTTGTATCATGGATATCTTTTAGATATTTCTTGATCATTATTAAGTCAGATAAATTTTCTATAAATTCTACAATTAATTATTAATAAATATCTTCTAGTCTTGATGTTGTTTTGATGATTTGCTTTCATCTGTCTTGTTTTCATATGATATTCCATATTCATTGACCCTCTTCTTATCAACAGGATACAGCCTATAATATAAATACACATTTATATTACAGTAACATACTTTCCTGAAAATACATTTTAGCTGTTCAGTATGATATTAATGACAAATTAAATTAAAAGCACTTCTACTGGATTTCATTTTCACTGATTCATCCAGTCAGCGGAAATGTGACAATAAAGTACTTTACAGTAGACTTTGCTGAAAACCACAAACTAGCAAGCATGGATCAAATACACAAGGCAGTTTAGAGGTGAATAATGCAAACTAAAAGCAAGAAGTTACAATGGCATTGAATCGGCTAATGCCAACGTCACTGGGGGAAAGATTAAGTGTTTTAGCTGGGGATATCATAGAAAAAAACAGTGAAAGAAGATAGGATAGTAAAGTTGCCCAAAATGTTACCAAAAACTGAAGTTTATTGCTTTTCAGTGTAGTTGATTGAAGCAAATCTCATTTCATTCAGTTTAACCTTTTCTCGACACCTTTATAACCTTGTCTATCACAGAAAATTCACATAAAGTATCACAGTTCACAGATTGATAGCTGGTACTGGTAGCATAGTGCATCGCATCAGACTCATGATCGTTAGACGCAAGTTCAAATCCTACTTAGGCTGAACATTGACCCCTACCCTGGGTGAGTGTGCCACAGACTCAATGGGAAGGCTAGGTTCACTGGCCAAGATTCATTCACTAACAAATGCGACTTTGGGGGAACCTTGGTTAAGGTCCGCAGTTGCTTGTGTTCGACCGAGCCTGGTAGACGTCAGGATAGCGCATTAAAATTGCCATTTGATAGAGATATGGCCACACAGCCCTGTCATGTAGTCCCAAACATGAATATGACTTTTATGGCAAAAATGCACTATGTGTCAGCACTAGCACTAGCACTAGCAGTACAAAATAAAAAGGTGAAGGAGAGCAGCAGTGACACTCAATGTCCACAACTGTCGCCTGGCAAAAAAAAAAAAAAAAAAAAAAGTATCATACATTTAGAATAAAGCATGGAGGTAAAAAGAGAAGGAGTCACAGCCAAGCTTAGATCAAAGGTACCAGGATGGTCGCAGCTGTTTGTACATAGATCAGGGAGTTTATTTGACGAACGGACCAAGGAGGACAGTTTCCTCTTAGCGCAGTGAGGATTACCATGTATTAGCATATTACGGACGCCTTCGGCAGCACTCGGTAATTTTCGTGACAATTCAAGTCAAATTCTTATAAATAAATATGGCGATGACCGATAACGCCCATGGGTTTGACGATGATACCGAAACTGCTATATCCTTCAATTCAGAATACATAAACGAAATCGAAGAACATATTACAGACGAAGAATTGTTTTGTTGTGAACGAAACGATTGCTCGAAAAAAAAAAATGGAGCGAATTTCTTGTACATTGTGTATAAAGAAAATTGACACACTGCCACAAGAAGTAGGACATACACAGGGTATTAACTTCAAAAAATGTCATTTCAAACCTCAAAATTCAGTCTCTGGTACAACGTGGTGCGGTCCATGTCATGCACCATTGCAAAGATCAATAAACAAGCTTTATTTTGGACTAAAAAATCATTACTAGCAAGATTTAGAAACATTACAATATTGCCGATTCAAAAATGCGCTAAAATACGAAAAATTACATGAACTTAACAAGAAATTGTCCGATTTCCAAAATTCCAACTTTTCCGTTCTCACAAACACGATAAGTATAAAAGTTCTGTGCATACTTTATGCCCTTTGACATTTACTGCGACACCGTAAAACAACCCCTTGGAGTGTTTACTGTACGCAGCAACGCTTGAGAGTAAATTACGCATCGGCGACGATCCTGGGGTGAAAGGACGGTAAGACAAAGGGAATTATGGGATTAAACTTGACTAAAACAAAAGAAGTTTAGGAGGATTTTGGCTGTTACTCCTTCTCTATTTTATCTCCATGGTCTATGGTACCAAATGATGACATGGAAAGTACGCCCTCATGTGATCAAAATGTCTAATACTTTTGTTTTCCTCCAATAATGTCAGCAAAGCAAATGTTCCCAATTTCTAATTAGTGTCATGACTGCAATAGACTAAAATTACTGCTTGTGGAGATGTATAGCATACAGTTTTTGATTAAAGATAATCTTCCATTTTTTTGACAATGCAAAGTCATGCTGATATAATGCCCAAGTTATAATAACAGCAAACTCACCATCTTTGGTATAGGTAAACTACAAATACCAGGTCGTCACGGAAACATGCTAATCGATGTGCAGTTGGCATAGTGATAATGAATGCAAACACATCATCAATGAATGTATTAAAAGCCTGTGTGACAAAAATAACTAGATTAAGGATGTTATCAATATTAGTTATATTAGGAACAAAACTACAGGTTGGAAGGCATACATGTCACCACACTGTGTACCAGGTTGGAAGGCATACATGTCACCACACTGTGTACCAGGTTGGAAGGCATACATGTCACCACACTGTATACCAGGTTGGAAGGCATACATGTCACCACACTGTATACCAGGTTGGAAGGCATACATGTCACCACACTGTATACCAGGTTGGAAGGCATACATGTCACCACACTGTGTACCAGGTTGGAAGGCATACATATCACCACACTGTGTACCAGGTTGGAAGGCATACATGTCACCACACTGTATACCAGGTTGGAAGGCATACATATCACCACACTGTGTACCAGGTTGGAAGGCATACATGTCACCACACTGTATACCAGGTTGGAAGGCATATATGTCACCAGACTGTGTACCAGGTTGGAAGGCATACACTTCACCAGACTGTGTACCAGGTTGGAAGGCATACACTTCACCAGACTGTACCAGGTTGGAAGGCATACACTTCACCAGACTGTGTACCAGGTTGGAAGGCATACATGTCACCACACTGTGTACCAGGTTGGAAGGCATACATGTCACCACACTGTGTACCAGGTTGGAAGGCATACATGTCACCACACTGTGTACCAGGTTGAAAGGCACACACTTCACCACACTGTGTACCAGGTTGGAAGGCATACACTTCACCACACTGTGTACCAGGTTGGAAGGCATACATGTCACCACACTGTATACCAGGTTGGAAGGCATACATGTCACCACACTGTATACCAGGTTGGAAGGCATACATGTCACCACACTGTGTACCAGGTTGGAAGGCATACATGTCACCACACTGTGTACCGGGTTGGAAGGCATACATGTCACCACAGTGTGTACCAGGTTGGAAGGCATACATGTCACCACACTGTATACCAGGTTGGAAGGCATACATGTTACCACACTGTGTACCAGGTTGGAAGGCATACATGTCACCACACTGTATACCAGGTTGGAAGGCATCCATGTTACCACACTGTGTACCTGGTTGGAAGGTATACATGTCACCACACTGTATACTAGGTTGGAAGGCATACATGTCACCACAGTGTGTACCAGGTTGGAAGGCATACATGTCACCACACTGTATACCAGGTTGGAAGGCATACATGTCACCACACTGTATACCACTTGTCACCACACTGTGTACCAGGTTGGAAGGCATACATGTCACCACACTGTATACCAGGTTGGAAGGCATACATGTCACCACACTGTATACCAGGTTGGAAGGCATACATGTTACCACACTGTGTACCAGGTTGGAAGGCATACATGTCACCACATTGTGTACCAGGTTGGAAGGCATACACTTCACCACACTGTGTACCAGGTTGGAAGGCATACACTTCACCACACTGTGTACCAGGTTGGAAGGCATACATGTCACCACACTGTATACCAGGTTGAAAGGCATACATGTCACCACAGTGTGTACCAGGTTGGAAGGCATACATGTCACCACACTGTATACCAGGTTGAAAGGCATACATGTCACCACAGTGTGTACCAGGTTGGAAGACATATATGTCTCCACACTGTGTACCAGGTTGGAAGGCATACATGTCACCACACTGTATACCAGGTTGGAAGGCATACATGTCACCACACTGTTTACCAGGTTTGAAAGCATACACTTCACCACACTGTGTACCAGGTTGGAAGGCATACATGTCACCACACTGTATACCAGGTTGGAAGGCATACATGTCACCACAGTGTGTACCAGGTTGGAAGGCATACATGTCACCACAGTGTGTACCAGGTTGGAAGACATATATGTCTCCACACTGTACCAGGCTGGAAGGCATACACTTCACCACACTGTGTACCAGGTTGGAAGGCATACACTTCACCACACTGTGTACCAGGCTGGCCGGCATACATGTCACCAGACTGTATACCAGGCTGGCAGGCATATCTTCTGTTCTAGATTTCTAGATAACTTACCTTGTACATGAATGCTCTCCAAGGCAAATGTGCAACAGATTTCAACTGAAAAATAAGCATAGTTGTGAGAAATAAATCCCTAATTCCAGATTCCTGAATTACTGCAATGTAATTCTATTAGCGCATGCGTAACCTACCCAGCATTGGACGAGGGTAGGACAGAAATATAACAAGTCAAAAGAACACTGGCAGACATGATACCCCAGAAGAAGTCAGCGGCATTTGAAACAGTTTTTTAAAGATAGTGGAGTGAGTGTGGGTGGGTACAAACAAGGGCAGCTGGAAGAACTACAGTGTATTTAAGACAACTGAGAAAATATGAACGTGACATAGTTTTTCAACTCACAAAATAACCCCAACAAATTTGAAAACATTACGCTATAGCCAAAGATAATTTGCATGTTCATTATTCTTGCTTAGGCAGAATAGTGTGCAAATTTGCAGAAGCTGGTACGAGTTAGTTGAATAATGATGGCAGTTTTTTTAGGGGAATTTTGAGGTTGTGAGTTGGAAACATTGATGTTTGGTGTACTGTTAGGAATGTTTGAAATCTGTCCTACCTTTCAGTTCATTGATCTCAGCAAGCGCACAAACAATGAAAGCGCAAACTCAATTCGGGAACTGGGAATTGTGTGATGGAAGAGAATGATTTCACTGTTCACAGATTGAACCATACCGTTTGGCAGCCATTTTGAACCATACTGGTTCAAATTTGAAAATTTTGGAGTTTGCAATTCCTAACATGCCTAATAGTGGAATTCTTATACCATTGACAACTGTTAAAATTACTAAGAGGCAATGTGGAGTATTTATGACCACTGATTAAATAAGTTAACCCAATGGCTTTGAATGACAACAATTAAATGCCTGTGTAGTCGAGCAAAATGCTCTGAAAACTGAATTGCTAGAAGCAAAATTGTTTGTGTAAAATAAACAATTTAACATCTTACAATATATAATCAAAGAAAGCTTAGAAAGAACTCCCATGTGCTGAGAGTATTGGAAACACATTAAATATAATTCGAAATTACTTAGC